CACTATATATATATATGGCCTTAATGCTTTGAATAAACTTAGCACTGTTGGACATCCTCCTCAGTGCTCCTCCTGCCCCCATCTCTCTGCTTCTCAAGTTCTTATCTTCATCCTCTTACCCTCACGTTCCTGGTCGATTTGTTGCGCCGGCCGCGACAATTTGTTTTCTTAAATTCCACATACGAGTGAAATCATCTGATAGTTGTCTTTTCTCTGACTTATTTTACTTAGCGTTATACTGTCTAGATCCATCCATGTTGTTGCAAATGGCAAGATTTCATTCTTTCTTATGGATGAGTAATATTCCACTGTGTGTGTGTGTATGCGTATCTCTCTCTATATAAACCTATATATGTATATATATATATATATATTGTCTACCTACCTATCTATTTCTCTATCATCTATCATCTATCACATTCTTCTTTACCCATTTATCTACTGATGGACACTGGGCTGCTTCCATAAATTGGCTATTATAAATAATGTGGTAATAAACATAGGGGTGCATATATCTTTTCAAATTAGTGTTTTTGTATTCTTTGAGTAAATCCCCAGGAGTGTAATTACTGTATCATATGGTAGTTATATTTTTTAATTTTTTAAAGAACCTCCGTACTGTTTCCACAGGGGCTTCACCAGTTTGCATTCCCACTAACAGTGCATGAGAATTCCTTTTTCTCCACACCTTTGCCAATACTTCTTGCTTCTTCTATTTCTTGTGGTTCTTTGCCTTTTTTACTTTAACCATTTTTTTAAAGAGAGGGGGCTTTGGGGAGGAGTTAAGGGAGAGGAAGAAAGAATTTTAAGCAGGCTCCACACCCAGAATGGAGCCTGATGCATGATCTCAACCCCTGAGATCATGACCTCAGCCAAAATCAAGAGTTGGATGCTTAACCAACCAGGCACCACAGCTTCAGCCATTCTGATAGGTGTGAGGTGATATCTCACTGTGGTCTTGCATTTCCCTGATGATGAGATGTTGAACACCTTTTCATTGTCTGTTGGCCACCTGTATGTCTTCTTTGGAGAAATGTCTGTTCATGTCTTCTCCCCATTTTTAATTGGATTATTTTTTTGGTGTTGAGTTTTATAAGTTCTTTTTATAGTTCAGATACTAACCCTTTATCAGATATGTCATTTGCAAATATCTTCTCCCATTTCGTGTGTTGCCTTTTAGTTTTATTGTTTCCTTCACTGTGCAGAAGCTTTTTATTTTGATGTAGTCCCAATAGTTTATTTTTGTTTTCCTTGCCTCAGGAGATAAATCTAGAAAAATGTTGCTATGGCCAATGTAAGAAAAATTACTGCCTGTTCTCTCTTCTAGAAGTCTTATGGTTTCAAGTCTCCCATTTAAGTCCTTAATACATTTTGGGTTTATTTTTGTAACTACAGTATGTTTTAAGCAATAGAGCATTCTTGCAGGGCTGTGAAAAAGCCAAATCATATCTCTACATCGAAGGGGTATATGATTTTGAGAGGCTCTTCTGATTAGTCAAATAAGTGATTATTCCTAGTGTAATAACTTAATATTTAGATTTCCAGGCATGGTGCTTTCTTAAAATGGGGCACATCTTCACAGTTCTGGCAAAGCCATAACTAATAGACTTTATCATCTGATGAAAACAGGCTGGTGAAACTTGCTCTCCATGTTGCAACTGTGGCAATTTCAAGTAAAGTAAGAACCTCTAAAATATAGCTATTAACCTAACCACCAATTAGAAAACCTACACATGAAAGTAGATGTCACCTCATTAGGTGGAACCCTCAATTACTAATTGTAGTGTTAAAATCAAGATAGGTAAGATGGTGAGTGCACTTAAGGAGTGGGGTACTAACCGGGAACTAATGTAAAAATGAGGTTAAGAAAGCAACAAGAGAACTTTCTTATTTATTTATTTATTTATTTATTTATTTTTTTTTAAAGATTTTATTTATTTATTTGACAGACAGAGATCACAAGTAGGCAGAGAGGCAGGCAGAGAGAGAGAGGAAGGGAAGCAGGCTCCCCGCTGAGCAGAGAGCCCGACGCGGGGCTCGATCCCAGGACCCCAGGATCATGACCCGAGCCGAAGGCAGCGGCTTTAACCCACTGAGCCACCCAGGCGCCCCCTTTCTTATTTATAATACAGAAAGGAAAAGCAATAAGAATCAAAGAATTTAGAAGGAACTCCTCACCCAATGTACACATTTAACCAGTGAGGGATATGGACTTAAAAGTGATTTGCTTGGACTTTTTGGTTGCAAATTCACTTTCCTCCTGTCTTGTATCTTTATAAGGTACAGAAGTTACCAAAGACAAACTACATAGACAATGAGAATAAAAAGAAAGCAAGCATAAAATGCCTTGCTGTCAAAGTTTCAGTAAATAGTTCAGAAATATTAGGTGGGGTGTGTGTGCATGCGTGCGTGTATATGTGTGTGTGTGTGTGTGTGAGATAGAGAGTGTTTATATACATATATACGTATAACATCTTTCAATTTCTAATAAGTGGTATTCAAATGTTTAAGCACATAGTATGCATGTAAGAAAAAATTGTTAACTAATGACTCATCAAACAACTCTTAAATTTCTGTAGAGAAGTGTACAGATATATTTTTTAGGATTTTATCCATTTATTTGACAGACAGAGATCACAAGTAAACAGAGTAGCAGGCAGAGAGAGGGGGGAAGCAGGCTCCCAGCTGAGCAGAGAGCCCAATGCGGGGCTCAATCCCAGGACCCTGGGATCATGACCTGAGCCGAAGGCAGAGGCTTTAACCCACTGAGCCACCCAGGCACCCCCAGATTTTGATATTAGTAAAGCCCAATTTAAAGCTACAACTCCACTTTGAAATTTGTCTATATGAAGTAATATGACAAATTGTTCTTAGTTTTAAAAAGAAACATTATAAAGCATACATTTATTTGAGCGATAGGTAAAAATTGATTTATTATAGTCAGGAGCACCAAAGGCTTCTGGGATCAACTGCAGTAAAAAAGGCCTACTATAGGGCTTCAGGTTCAATTACCATTTATATGTCAAGTTTTGGATGACCATCTTATCTACCCACCCCAGAATATAAACTCTGTGAGGACAGGATCCTTTGTGCTTGGATAGAGTCTGGTGTGGGGCACTTACTCAATAATATTTGTTGAATTAACTTCTCAAATCTGTATCTCCTGCACCAACCAATTAAACCCCTCTGAGCCCCTCTACCTGCATGTTCCTCTCACACTTCAACCTGAACACACCCCAAACCGAAGTGTAGTTTTCTTCTCCGATGGTTGTTTTCCCTGTGTTCCTTAGATTGGCACCATTATCACATGATTACTAAGTCCAGATAAGTCAGCTTCTCAGGTTATCTCCAGAGACCTTTTTCTCTCCATCCGTTTTGAATTTAGTTTAGGTAATTGTTAACTTCTAGTTTTTGGAATTGTTGCCAATCTCACTCCATTCTTCAAAAATCCTTGAAAAAAATTTTCTTTCTAAAACACACCATCATATCATTCCCTTTTTATAACCAATCCCAAATGACTGCAAGAAAAATTCTGAACTCCTCAGCACCTACCAGACCTTTCATCTGTGCCTACTCTTTCACCTTGATCTACCTCCCAATCTCCAGTCTTTAATCTTTCAAGAACTACTATTCCCAGGACATTCCAGTTGCTCTCACATCTCTGGAACCATGTGTTCTCTTTGCCTGGAAAGCGCTCCTTATTCCCAATTATCCTTGCTCTTGTCAGATTCCTAACCATCCTTCAAAACTCAGCACCTTTCAAACCTCTGACCATCACCTTCCAAGACTGTTAGGTGGTCCCTCCTTTGCAGACCTCCATTAAACCTTTACCAAGGCACTGAGCACTTTGAAGGACGGCATTGTCTTCTTCATTTTAGTTTCCTCAGCAATGCAGCAACGGAATCTCATTATTTTTTTTAACATTTTATTTATTTGATAGAACAAGCACAAGTAGGGGAACAACAGGCAGAGGAAGAGGGAGAAGGAGTCTCCTCACTGAACAGGGACCCTGGCATGTGGCTTGATCCAGGACCTTGGGATCATGACCTGAGTCAAAGGCAGACGCTTAAGGACTGAGCCACTCAGGCTCCCCATTCTCATTGATTTTGATGAGTGAATGAAAGAATAAATTCTAGAGAGACAGAAAATCATTCCACACCAAAGCCCTCATTTTACAGATGAGAAACTGAGGGCCAGAGAAGTGACATGATCTGACCAAATCGAACTAGGAGGGAAGGGCCTGGGCCTCCAGGCTTTTGACTACTGACCGCCCCCCCGCCCATTAACAAGTCACATTACAGTTGCAGTTATCAGACCTTTTAATTGCTACACTGAAGTCCAGTCTCTGCTCGATTTCAACCCTCCGAGCTAGTAAGCATCCCTCATTGTGATGAGGTTATTTTTTTTTACCCCCCCCCTCCCTCGTTTCTTGGGTTTCCTGAAGTAAGAGCCAACATCCTGTTTGCTTCCAGTTGTGGCCGGGAGTTCTCCATCTTTCAACACCGAACCTCACAGGAAGAGGGACCTCTCTCGGGAAGGTTTCTGCTTAGGACTCCTATGCCTATGGGTGATAGTTTGTCTCCGGAAACCGTGGCGCCCGCACTACAGCGGGATCTCCAGCGGCTTACAGTTGGGAGGGGCTCTTAATAGATCTGGGTACGACTCGGCAACACCCTTGTACTCTACCCGGCAACTCTCCAGGATGTTTACAAGCGAGGTTGATTCATCTCTTCTGCCCATCGGGATAAATTTCGGGGCTGTTGATGTCGCCGGGGTGCCAGATGGGGGGACCTGCTCCATGACCAAGCCACTTCCCTTTTCCATGAAAAGCAGGGTTGTCCACCAGACTTGGAAGGTTCCAAGGGGTGGAAGGCGGGGCGCCCCGGCTGACTGAGGCGCGCGCGCGGGTCGCGTGCTCCCTGCGAACTGGGGCGGGGCCTCCAGCCACGCCCTCCCTCCGCCTTCTGATTGGTCCTTTCGAAACAGGCGGCGAACCGCGGCGAGACCTGAGACCCAGGCGGAGGCGGCGGCGGTTGGTCAGGGGCGTGCCGGATTCGCACAGATTGAACCGAGATGTCACCCCGCAGGGAGAAGTGACCATCCCGCGCCTGGGAGGGTGAGTACTTCCCTGTTTGCTTTCTCTTTTCCTCGCGAGCCTCTCCTCGCCTTATTGGGGCTGTTGCGCCTCAGTCTGCGGGCTCGAGGACCCCCGGCGCTCCGCCGAGTCGAAGCGCTGGTTTGGTTGGATCTCTCCGCGAAATCCAAGACGCTCTGCGATTGGCCCGCCGCGGAAGCCGCGTCCTCTGATTGGTCCCTGGGGCTGTCAAGGTGACGTTTTGCCTGTCCTGTCTTGCCCACCTCGGTGCGGCGCGAGGGGCAACAGGTGTGCAGGGTTGGGGGTGGTGGTGGGCAGCAGGTGCGGACGTAGTAGGTTGGGGAAGAGGTGTCAAGCCGTTATTGGTCTGCTTTAGAAAACGAGAGGGAGATTAGAACCTGAAGCTAGTTGAAGGTCTCCGGGGGCACCCTTATCTGCAAGCGCCCAGCGTATATAGGGTCACTTGATTTCCTCAACACCACCCTTTGGAAGAATTAATATAGTCACAGACCTTGGAAAGAGAACGACACAGACAGTCATTTTCTCCTCTGGCAAAGTTTACAGCCTCTTCCCTATTTGTTCTCTCCAGTCCGGGCAGGGCTTTGCTTTCCCAGCTGCATCCCTTAGTTTGGAGGGCTGCCTTGTGGGGTAAAAGGAAGGGAAGGCTTGTAGATTGCCCTGGAAATCTGGGGAAGCTCTTGGAAGGTGTCCCTCCTGACACAGTCACTCCTGGTTCCTAACTAATCTTTTCAAGTTGAATTTTACGGATTTAAGAGTGGTGTAGTATGCATGGCGGAGTTGCTGATCCAGTCCTTAAGTGAAGAGATGGTTTTTTGCAGGCGCAGTCCAAGTCACACTTTGGGTTTTGTTTTGCTCGCTTGAAGAGCGCTGACAACTACTTTATCAGAAGATAAGCAGTTGGTGAGCTGCTATGTGATCACATTTCTTGGGATTTAAATTATTAGGAATTAGAATTCTAGCCACCTCAGATTTTCTTTGGGAGGAGATTGGGTTGGATTTGAATGAAAAAGTGGACACTGATGAGAATCTCCTAGCATATATTCTGATACAAGTTGTCTGATGCATCTGTTTCAAAAATTCATTAACAGCTTTGGATAGTAGGTGTCTGCTATTTTGACATTATTGAATTAAAAGTAATATTTCTTTTTAACATAGCAAAGTTGCTAAGCATGCAGGTTCTGAAATCAGGTTTACCATGGGTATGACCTTAGGCAAATTTTTTAATCTTTCTAAGCCTAAATTTCCTAATCTGTAAAAAAAAAAGTTAACCATAGCTCCTACCTTATTGATGGGAGGATTGTCATGAGGATTAAATGAAATAAATAATCCACGTAAATGGTTTAGTACAGTGCCTGAAATATAGCTATTATTATTTCTTGCTGTTTAATTTCGATTAGAAGTTTTAAGCTACACCCAAAGGACTGAGAAGCACAGCAGCTAAAGGTAGTACTAAAGACAGTGATGAGTTCTTATTCATTGATTAATTTAATACCTGTAAGCACTAAAAATAGTAATTGTTGCTATATATCAAACACATTACTACCTAGATGGTGCAGGTATGTGTTTTAGGTTCTTTACTTATATTAATGTTAAACCTCTTAGTAATCCTGTAATGTAGTTGGTGTAATCTGCACGTTATAGGTGAGGAAACTTAAACTCAGAGAAAGTAAATAACCTACTGAGTCCACTCAGAATTCAGTCCACCCCCTTTTTTGTGTGTGTCACACTGCCCTTCATTTATATTCCTGGTGTTACATAAATTCTCTGCACAGAGTTGTTTGTATAGCCCAGGTTCATTTCTGCCATGTATAGTTTTATTTTTGAATACTTCATAATAAAAAAAATAGTAAGAAATAATTTGTGATGGTAGATGAAAGCGTGTGATAAGAGAAGAATGTCAGCAACATAAATGCTATTACTAAAAACTAAATGAGTCTAATGGTGTTTGGAGAATTGACCAGTTCAGAAGTAATGTTTCCTAATTTGTATTTTCCCATTTAGCTTTGGTGTATTCACTATATTTTTACTATGCAGCACTCTTATATTATCCCATCCTCACCCTCCTGTAAATCTCAAGTTTGGAGTTAAGAAAGTTCAGTTATTTCAATAATTTTTCTCAAGCCGACTGTTGAGGAGGGAAGTAAGGATTAAGGTTAATATGTATTGTTATAGTTTACTTTTAGTAACATGTCCGTGTATGTCTGTGTTTATGTGTTTTATTTCCTTATTACCTATTGCTTTCTATACTTTGATATCAGATATACCTTTACATGTCTAAAGAACCATGTCATGTACATAGAATTTGAGAGAATAGGAAACTTGAGTCTGTCAGTAAGTTTATCTCACTTCCAGTTTCACAATTTTTAATCAAAATTTAACTGCCATAAAGAAATGCCTCGGAAGGCATGTTTACACGATAAGCAGTCATTGCATTTGTATTTCTTTAGTGTTTCTCCTTCTAAAAATACAAATGTTATTACATTGTTACATAGTAGCTTGTTTTAACAGAAAGTTGCCATTTATTTTATCAATAAATTACTAATTTCTAAAGAACTAGAATGTAATAAAATGTAGCATATGCACTAAACATTAATTTCATCTTTGATGTTGAAAGCATCTTAGGAATTTATAGTACCAATACCATTAGTCATATGGTACATATTGCTGAAGTGCTGACTGATGGAAATTTCTGCCCACTATCATATAACATATACTTTTCTGTAACAGTATACAGTTAACTATGGTTGAAGAGCTCACTTTATGTAGTTTCAAACATAATGACTTTTTTTTTCTCCTGATGGGTGACATGTTACAATTTTGGATCCTAAAAATAAAATTGGCTGTTGAAAAACTTGTGTTCAGAAGTTTTTCTTTTTTATACCTTCCCTTCCCCAATTTAGAAAACATTGTGATCCCAGTAACATAATTATACATGCTGTTCTGCAGGTTGCTTTTGGTCACATAACATCTTTTCATATCAGTAGATATAGCTATTATTTTTCAAGTGGCTGAATAAATCCACTGTATGAATGTATGACGACTTATTTGAGCAGTTTCTTGTTAATAGATACTTTATGTGTTTTTACATTTCTTTATATTAGTGTTTGTGTATGGGTATGTTTTCTGTAGAGTCTTTTAGTTTATCATATATAAAGGCAAAATGTTTTAAGTTCTTTAAAAATTTTTTGATAAGTGAATAGTTCTGTTGAACATAAAATTAAGTTATTTAGGTTAAATCTCTATGAAATATTGCAAAAGGAAATTTTCAAATAGAAAAGCAAAGACTCCCAACAAATGAATAGTCTTTATAATTTTACAAATAACATGTGATGTTTTTATGAAGCTGTAAGAATCTTATTTCTTTCTCTTGAAAAATCTTTATCTGCTTTGGAAGCTGCATTTTCCTTTAATGAGTATATCACAGATTTACTTCATTATTGTTTCATATTCCATTTAGTGATAAATGCAACATTTACTGTATTTAGGAGTAATTCTGGTACTAATTTTAGCACTAATTTCTACATCGTAGTAGAAGAAGTAGAGAATGTTCCCCCATAAGGGTCTTATTTTAGAAAGTATAGAGTAAAATAAAAGCATATATTGCTGTGTAACCTAAATTAGGGAGGAAGTTTGGGAGGTGTTTTTTAAAAAATTTTTTTAAATAGAGGAATTGAATCTGAAATAGGTAGGAATGAGTCTGGAAGAAAGGAGGAGGAAGATTGTTGCATGTAGATAGATCATCGGGCAAAGTCCCAGAGATGAGAGAGCATACTTGAAGGGTCTAAAAGAAGTTCAATATGGCTGGAGTGTGAGGGTCTAGAGAAGAGGCTAGAGGGGATTTATCAGGCTTTGTTAGCTTTGTTGAGGAGTTGGGGCTTTATCCTGAAGGCATTGGAGGGTCATTAAGGATTTTAAGTAGGGAAGGAGAAAGGTATCCTCAGATGAGGGTTTCTGAAGGATCAATCTGGCTGCAGCACATGAAGAACAGGTTGGAGGCTTGCAAAGCTGGGAGAGGGTGACTGTTTGGAAGCTGTTTCAGTAAACCTAGAGAGAGGGGTGATGATGACTTGAACTAGAGGGGTGGCCATAGATATTGAAGAAGAAATTTAGAGGTAGAAGCAACAAAGATGTGGTCACTATTTTAACTGAGGAATGCAAGGACACAGTGAAGGTGTGGGAGAGGAAGGAATCATGGATGATCTATTTAACTTGGTGACTGTTGGTGCTATTCCCTGAAATAGTAAACATAGGAAGCCTTTGTAAATATGTAAATGAGGAAATGAATAAGTAATCTCAGTTATACAAAGGCAGGGCCATTTGATGATAGTGATGATGATGATGATGATGAGATGATGCTAGAGAGCACATAGCACAATGGGTTTTACCTATAAATTTTGCATTTTTGTTTGTTTGGTTGGTTTTATTTATCTTTTAGCATACTATACAGACTGGTGCCATTTTTCTCATTGCTTCAATATGTTGGATCACTGTATCTTCCAGTCATGTTCTGGGTGCATATTGCTTTCTTGGGGCCAAATATCTTGACCCTCTGGGCACAGCTTCCTTTCTTCACTATTACTTTCCTATTACTCCTGGAACAAATTACCACAACTGTAGTGGTTGCAAACAACACAAATTTGTTATCTTATGGTTTGGGAGGTCACGAATCTGAAATGAGCTAAAAAAAAGATGTTATTAGGGCTTCCTTCTTTCTGGAGGCTCCAGAGGAAGTCCCATTTCTTTCCCCTTTCCAGCTCTGAGAGGGCACCTGTGTTCCTTGTCTCCTCCTTCCATCTTTAAAGCTGACAGTGATGCTACTCAAATCTGTTTCTCTGCTTCTTTGACTTTTCTTCATCCCTCTTTTTAAAAAATGTATTTTTATTGAGATACAGTTGGCATGTCACATATTAGTTTCAGATGTACAACATACATGCTTGATATTTGTATATATTGTAAAATGATCACCATGAAAAATCTAGCTAGCATCCATCCCCATACAT